TGACATCAAAGTACCTCGAGAGCGTTTCGAAAGCATAACCGTCTGTATGGTACTTTGATGTCATACACCGATCGGTCTGCACACGCAAACAAAGCCAAAACCTAGATATTTTAGGCAATATAGAAATCATGGCCAGGACGCGTCCTGGGAAAATGGCACGTATGGTCACCCTATACAACAATTCATTTATTCACAGATAACAGAAGTCAGATTATGAGCTTTAAATATTACAGTCTATGGATAGCCTTTGCTGTTTGTGTTTTGAAATGTATCCATTCATCAATACATTTATAAATCATTAAGTATGCAGTCAAAAGGTCATTAGTATAAAGACTATTGTTTTTTTTTTCTTTTTGCCCTTTTGATCTTTACATAATGCTCATTTTATCAATATTTATATGCATAGTTGAAATGCACAGTTTTCCCTGCAATAAAATGTGAATTAATTTAAATCATATACCACAATAATCCTCTGCTGTCATTCATCATTAATGACCACTTATCTGAGTGTTTTAACTGTCCTTACAGGGCCAGTGTTGTTTTGATTTAGGGAAGTTTCTAGAGGCTCTGGTGTCTTTCACAAAAGCTGCAGAACTCAAACCCTCCTTCCTGCCATATCACATGAGAAGGTCAGTGCAGAATGTAGCAGATGTTTAAGTGCCCTTCAAAGAGATTTGAAGTCTAAATGTGTCTGAACTAGTAGCTGAACTAACGTTATGTTAGCATGTGATAGCATGAAATACCACCAGGTGGCGCTACATGCTCTCTCTTTACCTAACAATCATCACCTACAATTGCTCACATTATTGAGTGCTATTCCTTTTTTTTTTTTTTCATTGTGTATGTGTGTGTGTGTGCAGAATTTAACAAAATGCAATATATTATTGATATAATTCTTAAGTTATTATTTAATAAAAGCTAACTCAAAATGTATTTGGACAATCAAGTCATTTAAAAATATGTGAATGTTTTTGTATTCTCAACAAAATATCAAAGTAGCATTTATTTTTAAGAAATATAGCTTAAAATATTGCTATATATCACGCAAACACACTTCTAATGGAAAACAAATTAAGAATTTAATTAAGTTTTTTTAAACAAAATTTGAAAACAATAGACATATTTTTCAAAATGAACAAAAAAGGTATTTGGACACCAAACAATTGATCTTACATCAATAACCAACTTGTTATTAATGTCCACCTCTGACAATTAATTTTAATTTTATTTAGCATGTCGTTTGAAAAGCTGAAAAAGGCTGAAAAGTCAGGTTGCATTAAAACTACGAAAAGGCCTAAAAAGGGTAAAAATTACCCTCAACAGTCTAAATGGGTTAAAAGTTATTGGCTAGAAAATTGTAGTTAGTCATTTAGTTTTTTTTTTTTTTTGCTGATGACACTTGGTTTGATATTTTGGATCTAATGCAATGCAGTTCAGTTAAGTGTGACGTAAGTGTTCAAAAGTGTCTAAACAGTAGCATGAGATCATAATTGTTTGCGTTTTTGTATATGTATTCATAGTTTGGCTTGTCTGACCGCTCTGGGCCGTTACTCTGACTGTCTTCGGTTGGTCAATAATTGGCTGGAGACGGACGGCCAGTCAGCAGACCTCTTCACTCTGAGAGCTCGCCTTCACCACCAGCTCAATCAGGTCAGACTATCATTCACAGCCTTCAGAAAAACGTTTCCCTTCAAGTGACTGTAATAAACAGGTAAGAGGGCTGCGTGTCTCCTCAGATGACTTTATGCTATCATGACTTGAGGTCAGCACTTGGGCTGAAACCGTGCTGTCCAGAGGCACAGGCACTGTTGAAGAGGCTGAAGGAGGCAGTGAAGGATTCCCATCAGGCAGCTGTTGATTGGAGAGAAGCTGTTGGCATTGAAGGGAGAGCTTTCAGATGCACTGGGGAAAATAAACACCGCTCTGGAGTATAACCCTAATAAAGCACAGTACTACCTCTTTAGGTGAGGCTCAGAAGAGCTGCATATTTACTGCCTGCTAAAAAATTGGCCATCTGTGACAGTGATATTATTCAATTTAAATTAGTGTTATGATACACACACTAAACTCAGGTTTTATATACATTTTCTGTTACAATGATTTTATTTTATTTTTATATATTTTTTTGCTTTTCTATTACCAGTCAAAAATTTAGACACACAAATGACGCATGATGCCATGGTACTAGCATGATACATGTCCACAAAACATGGTATTATTATGGTACCATGTCCAAAAAAATATTTTCCGGGCAGTGTATGCTGGTCCACCTCCTAGACCAGCACTAAATCAGCATAAACCAGCCTGAATCAGAATATAAATTCATAATATTAACTTTATTTGTATAAAACTAGCACAAAGTTTTATTATTTTAACCGCTGCAAGATTAATCTTTAATGAGCCGAAAAGAACGCATGTCACACCTCTGTTCATCAATTTGCACTGACTACCAGTAGCTGCTCGCATTAAATTCAAGGCATTAATGTTTGCCTACAAAACCACCACTGGCTCTGCACCCATTTACCTAAATTCATTACTTCAGAGTTATGTGCCCTCTAGAACCTTGCGTTCTGCAAGTGAACGGCGTATTATTATTGGTCTCGTACTGTATCGTGTACCTTGTCAGTGTCGTGCGCTTTGCTTGGCCATTTGTTGTGATAAACAGGAAAGTGTGTCCAGCTGAATTCAATTTGAGTTTTGTTAGACGAATATAAAAAGCTTAGTATACCTCGGCAGCGGTCGCGTGACGGCCTCCTCGTGTGAAGACCGAAGAGTGTAAAGACCATTGACTCTACCGTTCGACTCCACCGAGCAGGGACACCGGCAAGGCACATAAGTATCGCTTCTGAATCATTCTCTTTCCTACTACTTGTTCCCCTTCTGTTTTCAGTTTTTATAACCAATTCTTACTATGTGTTTCCAGATCCCTACTATCACTACCACTCGCAAACCATGCATCACACACTGTAGGCAGCGCAATCCTAACAACTTGCGCACTTTGCCTATGTCTACTAATACACTACTTTCTTTTTCTATTGGTCTCTGGAATTGCCAGTCTGCTGTAAACAAAGCAGATTTTATTACTTCTATTACAAGTCATTCAAGACTAAACCTCATGGCCCTGACAGAGACGTGGATCAAACCAGAGGACAATGCTACACCTGCAGCACTCTCAAATAATTTCTCTTTTTCCCACTCCCCCCGTCTGACTGGAAGAGGTGGAGGTACTGGTCTGCTTATCTCTAATGATTGGAAATTTAATCCTTTACCATCTCTGAGTATCAACAGCTCCTTTGAATCACATTCAGCCACTATTACCCACCCTCTTAAAATCCATTTTATAGTTGTTTATCGACCCCCAGGACCACTAGGTAACTTCGTGGAAGAATTAGATGTGCTGCTCTCAAACTTTCCTGAGGATGGTACTCCCCTAGTTATGCTTGGAGACTTCAACATCCACCTAGATAAACCTCAGGCTGCAGACTTCCACACTCTGCTTGCTTCTTTTGATCTCAAGCGAGTATTAACTACGGCTACTCACAAATCAGGCAACCAACTGGACCTTATTTACACACGACACTGCTCCACTGATCATGTGCTCGTTACTCCACTGCACACCTCGGATCACTTCCTCCTCACTCTTAACCTCAACATGGTTCCTGACACAACACATACCCCTACACATGTCACTTTTCGACGTAACCTACGCTCTCTCTCACCCTCCCGGCTATCTGCTATGGTTTCATCTTTGCTTCCTTCCCCTGAACAGTTATCATCTCTTGATGTTAACCGTGCTACTGATACTTTCTGCTCCACTCTTACGTCTTGTTTAGACACTGTCTGCCCCTTGTCTTCCAGGCCAGCTCGTACCACCTCTTCTGCCCCTTGGCTATCTGATGTTCTCCGTGAGTATCGTTCTAAGCTCAGAGCTGCAGAAAGAGTATGGCGCAAATCACAAAATCCTACTGACCTTAATGTATATCGATCACTTCTCTCTTCATTCTCTGCTAATGCCTCCACTGCTAAAAGGACATACTATCACAACAAAATTAACAATTCGCCTAACTCTCGCATGCTCTTTAAAACATTTTCCTCCCTCCTTTGTCCTCCTCCTCCCCCTCCTTCATCAACTCTAACAGCTGACGACTTTGCCACATTCTTCATTAATAAAATTACAAACCTCAGTGCACAATTTGCCACACCACAAACTGTCAAACACATCTTACCAGCAAACATACACTCGTTTTCATCCTTCTCTCCACTCTCTGAGGCAGAAGTCTCTAAACTCATCCTTTCCAATCATCCTACTACTTGTCCGCTTGATCCTATTCCATCTCATCTCCTTCAAGCCATTTCTCCTGCCGTTGTACC